GCGGCTGCTGCCCGACGCCTCTATCTGCGCTCTGCATATCACTTCACCTGTATTGCGCTCCAACAAATGCAACGGGCACAGAACATGCGACATGATGCTGATGATGCGCCCGTTCGGTATTTGAAACGTCCATGCTAGCCTGCATCTGGTCTGTAACAGCTTGTTTACAACTTTTGATTGAGGTACCGTGAACGTCCCATATGAAACTTTGCCTTTCAATTCTACGAGTTGGCCGTCATGTATTTTGTCCAAGAGAGCTGCTGGAATATCGTCCTGGATTGGGTCCAAGACGTGACGATATGACGTATCAATTGTCGCTTCCATCGGGGTCTCATCGTATTGCACGTCCTCGAAATATTGCAACAGATGCTGTCCAGGAATGTGTTTTACGATTGCCAATTCGAACTCCATTCGTTCCATGCGGTCATGCGCAAGGAGGGCCGCTGCGGTCCAAATCCTGCTCTTGCGAAGTTTTACCATACATATCCCCCCGAGATGTTCACTCAACGCCGTGTCGCTCATAACTCTGTCATGGCCGTCGGCCTGGAAAACATGCCCGACATACTTGTCCACGTCCGAGTCGCGCTGTGAACAACAGGCTGCAGCGTGCAACGAAGAAGCCAATTGGGTAAAAAACTGCGATGACACGGTAAACCCTTGCATAACTCTCGGGACAACAGTTGCACGAGACAATTCTGGAACATACGTCACTTGCAACGCCCTCTTGAGCGGCATCGCTGCAGCATACTTGAACTCGCACAGTAGAGATTTTTGAACTGGAAGCATCGGCCGCCTCACAACTGTAGCATTCACCGCGGGCGCCTTGCGAGGGCGACCTCTCTTCCGCCTCGGCGGCTGCACCGCCAACGGCACGACGCTCTCTGCGCCGATCGGGTTGCCGATCTCGGGGGCGGGAGGCTCGTCTACGCCTGCCGCTAGGGCCGCCCAATCGTCTGGCAGCTCTGGCGACGGCGCGGCCGCCAAGGAGTCCCAATCCTCTGCTGCAGGCGCGCCGCCGCCGATATAATCCACAGTGTCAACATCATCGGCTCCCGCTGCCAGGGCCGCCCAACCCTCCTCCATAATATAGACGCATTACAGCATCAGAACCGAATGCAAAACAAAAATATAAACAAATATGGCTGGCCAACGAGATGATGGCGCGATGCTCCGATAAGGGCCCGAGGGCCCATGATGCGTTCAAATGCCCGGATCACGGGCGCATCTTCGAACCAACGCGCACGTTCCACTCCGACGCGCGAATGGACCGCTATGCGGAGGCACTTGCTGGGAGGGCACGCTTGGGAACATGTTGCTGAACAATGCTGAATGGGCCCCGACGGCAATGCAAATCAACGTGCAATGGCAATGACATGCTGCGCGCAATGCGGCCCCCGCGTGCCGCGTGATATGTGGTGCGAACTACAGACGTGCACATGCGTGCACATGCGCGCACCGCCCTCCCGTGCTGGGCCGAAACACGCGTGCGACCACACTGCACTTCGCGCGCGACAACGGAATACATTGCACACGCGCTACGATGGCTACCTGCACTCTTATCATGCGCGCGCGGAAAGCCGCACACCCCGCTACATCTCGCTGTCTTACATGTGTTCGTTCCACGTGTTTGTTTCTGTTGTATAATAGGTCATGGGCGCTCTCGCCTCAACGCCAGCCACATCTTTGCTCCGCCGACGGTTGCCCGCGCGCGATCCCTTTCGCCCCGCAATTTTGTGGCACCGCCGACTAGCCCCGCCCGCGCATGTGAAAGTTTCAATAGCGACGGCTTGTTTTCTCATTGCATTCATGCGCACCCCGCTCGGAAAGTTTCCGAGGGGCCCGAGGCGCGCTCTCGCCTCGGCGCCTACCGCACTCCCACCCCATTTGCAGCTTCACTGTCTGCAACGGAAAGTTTGACCTGAGCAGCGCCGCGTTGTCGCGGGCTTGAGTTGGCGACCTCGTCACGAACTTGCTTTCGCATTCGTTGCGGGTGCGACGCGCGGCGGGCTACGCCGCGGGCCGCGGCGGCGGCGCCGCGCGCGCCCGCGGACGGGCGCGGGTGGATCGCGCGCGGGTGCAACAATTGCACCCGCGCCGATCGCCGCGCGACGATGCCCGACAGAACGGGCCTGCCGCGCCTCCCGCGGGAGTTCACAACGCCATCGGGCCTTGGAAACACGCGGGCGCGACAAGGGTCGCGCGCGCACAGCGGGGGGGGAAGCTCGAATTCTCGGCCGAGCTAAAGTCAACGCGACCGAACATGGCGCGCGCAGTTATTGCGGGAGGTCTTGACGGAGGCCAAGCTACATTTGTATGCCCTGGTGACCTTTTTTCCTTGCAAATTGCGGGTGCCCGCCAGGGTTACTTTAGAGCTACTTTATTTTTTTGGGGGGCCTACCAGCTGTAGAGGATCGTTCCTACACAACCCTAATCCATCCATCCCTCTCTCCTCCTTCGTCCCTCCCTCCCGCCTCTCTTGTCCCTCATTCTTCCCTTCCTCCCTCCCTCCCTCCCTCATTCCTCCTTTCCTCATCTCTCATCCCTCCCTCATTCCGCCCTCGTCCTCCTTCCAGAAGTGGTACTGGGGACGCGGTGTCTGGGGAAACGGTTCCGGGAAGGAGGGTGCACATAGGAAACGGCTCCATGCAGGGAAGAGGGTCCGGGGAAATGGATCGGGGGTTCCGGGGAAACGGCTCCGGGGAAGCGGATCCGCGGAAGCGGTTCCGGGGAAACGGTTCCGGGGAAACGGTCCTCCGGGGAAGGGGTTTTTGGGGAAGATGTCTCCGGGGAAACGGATTCCGGGGAAACAGTTCCGGGGAAGCGGTTCCGGGGAAATGGTTCCCGGGGAAACGGTTTTAGCATCAAGTGGGTGCAACGTTGCTCGGCGCGGTTGTGGCCTCGACCTCTTGGACTCGCGACTCGCATGCTGTCCCCAGCCTTTGTTTCTAGCGCGCATCTGCCTTCCGTCGCCTTCGGAAGGCGTGGCAGGCGCGTCAGGCATAGCAGCCGTGGCAGGCGTGGTAGGCGTGGCAGGCTTGGGAGACGTGGCGTGGCAGGCATAACAGGCGTGACAAGCGTGGCAGGCGTGGCAGGTATGGCAAGCATGGCGGCAAGCATGGCAGCCGTAGCATGCATGGCAGGCGTGGCAAGCGTGGCAGGCGCGACAGGCGTGGCAAACGTGGTGGCATTTTTGCGGCACCAGTCGGTCGCGCCCGTAGGGCGCGTTGCAGGCGTGGCAGGTGTGGCAGGCGTGGCAGGCGAGGCAGGCATAACAGGCGCGACAAGCGTGGCACGCGTGGATGCACTTTGGTGGTACCAGCCGGCTGCATCCGCAAGGTGTGTTGCAGGCGTGACAGGCGTCTCAGGCGTGGCAGGCGTGGCAAGTGCTGCAGGCTTGGCAGGCGTGACAGGCGCGACAGGCGTGCAAGGCGTGACAAGCATTGCAGGCGCGGCAGGCCTGGCTGGCGTGGGGGCCGAGCGCGGTTCCCGACGCAGTGCAGCTTCATTTGCGCTATTCTTTCCCGCACTGGCCTTGTGGGAAACAGCGACTGCAGGGGGCAGAAAATGTTGCGGGGGCGCTCAACGCGGTCGCTCCGCCCGCCACGTGTGAGCCTTCGTGGCCATGGAGTAACTGTTTAAATGAAGAGTGCTACCATCGGTTACTCGCGCAGAGATATTTCAAGGTGCGTCAAACATGGCCGCCCCGCTCGCGACGCGCGAACCTTCGTCGCCATAGCGTAAGTGTTGAATTGGAGAACGCCATCAGCGATTACTGGGACCGAGATACAGCGGGGGCTCTAAACATGGCCGCTCCGCTCACAACGCGCGAGCATTCGAACCATAGGGCAACTGCCGAAACGGGAATTGTAGATGTGTGTGTATTATGAAGTGTAGGCAACTTGCCCTCTGCTTGTTGCGGAGCCAAGCGTTGCAGCCACATGCGCGCCACGTCGCACACGGACCCGACCAGCTTGTGAAACGCCTTCTCGTCGTCGGAGCCGACCGCGTTCACGACTTTCCTTTCGGCGAGGCCGCGGAGTGTGATGTTGCCCCTCAGGCGCGAGAGGTGCAGCGTTTCGTCGATCTCGACGTCATCGAAAATGACGGAGCATTCGGAGGCAATCCGCGCTCCTTCTTCGCAGGAGGAAGATGTACCCATACCGCTACCCGTCTCTCGTTGTCCCCCTTCTGGGCCTCATGCTAGGCCCTCGCCCCACCGTTGGATTCGCCCGGAAACTCTGGTCAGAACGCATCCCGGGAGAGATCAGGGGAGCAGCAGTATCGGTGTTTTTTTCGATTATACGTAAGAGTGATCTTTCGCCGGAGTGACCTTTCGTGCGGGCCCACTGGGGTCACCCGATCGCTGAACGCGAGGCGGCAGTGGCGTCGTGGGCGCTTCTTTTGGCCCTCCCGCGGTCCCCAAAAAGCCGCGCATCAAAGGTCACTCTTGCGTGCAGTCGACATCGGTGCATTTTGGCTTCCCCATTTCTGGTGCTGTGAGCGGGGAGCGCTTGCCCCTCGGCGTCGCGGCGGGCGTGGCTGTGAGGGCCGATGGCTCTGGCGCGGGGGCGGGCGCCGACGGGGCAGCTGACGCGTCGCCCCGTTTCGCGTTCCAAGCAAGCCGCATGAGTCAGCAGAGCAGCAGGTCTTGAAGTATTGGTAGGATCACAGCATGGGGGAAACATGTGTGGTGAATCAGATCTCATGTCTGTTGCTGGTAAGAGCACCCTCAATTGCAAGATTGGATTGGATGGGCGCGTCCAGGATAACTAGTTTCGCATGGGCGATGGATCCAATGGTGCGGAGTTCCCTTGCGCCGCGACTCAGCCACACAACGAGCATAGCCTCTATTAGGCTTGCGTTCCTGATGATGCTCGAAATATTCGGAGAAGGTGTTTCTTTCACTGAGGGGCTCAGCTAGGATTGCTCACGCAAATGTGACGCACATGCGCATGCATCTCTGATGTTTTCTATGGGATTTCTGTGCTTCTGTGCCTGAGGCAGTACATACCAGCCAGCGGCCCTCGCAGGCGTTCATCAGTCCGTTCGAAGGCCTCGCGTATGCCACAGGGCCTGGGTAGTTGACGCTCGAGCTGTCATCTAGTTGTGCCATGTTCCCGTTGCTCTCTCCCTCTCTCTCTCTCTGTATATGTTTTTGTTTGTCTCTCTCTCTCTCTCCGTCTCTCTCTCTCTCTCTCTCTCTCGCTCCGTTTCTGATTCCATGTCTAACGCTCGTTTATCCCTACCTGGCCCTGTAGGTAGCTCTTTCGGGCGGGAGCATTGCATCTGATGGTGTTCCAGCCGCAAGCGGTTGGTGCGGATGTGTTCAGGAACGACTCATTGTATTGTTTATTTAGCCATCAGATATACCAATCTAGAATGAAGTTTCCACGTAAAGTGGTTTCGTCTTATCGTGGCAAATACCCTTGGCGTGCAACAGAACTGGCACGCAGGATGTGCACCACCGACTAGAATGATGTGTCATAACGTTCTGCTCCCGACATACGTCGACATGTGTTGTGGCAGAGCAGGATGGCGCTCGTCGTTTCGTGTTGCCCTTCTGGTTTTTCTTGTGTCTGGGATGCTCGGGTGGTCAGTGGTCTTCCTTTCAAGCGTCTTGCCAGGAGGGCTCCTCAGCTTGATCGCTTGGGACTCTGTCCTACACCTCCGCGCTGAGCACTCTCCTCCTTTTTGAGGGTGAGCAGGCGCGTTTATGTTTAGCATGTCCTGTCCAGGTCAGTCCAGGCGCTTCAAATCCAGGCCAGGTGACGCAACGTTCACGCGTGAAGTTTGAGCCTTGATTTTATTCAGCGTCTCGAAGGGCCAGTGCTGAAGCTCAAGTGATTGGCAAGCATATGAGGGCTGCACTTCGCATTCAGGACATCTCAGAACACACTTTCTGCAGCCACGGTGGCCACCGAGCTCGTGGTGTGTGTGTGTGTGTGTGGTCAGAGCATGGTCACCCTTCTAGTTCGTACAGGGTGTGCTCGTGCATCTTGTATTCGTCTTCCATGTGGGCCAAGCCGGCCTCTCCCTTCGGTGCAAGCTGTTTGCTTCCTCCAGGCGGGCGCCTCCCTCCGTTCCTCGACTTCCTCATCACCATCCCCTCCCCCGTCGCCTTGCCCCTCCGCCTCGTCGTCGTCGTTCTCGTCCTCCTCCTCCTCCTCCTCCTCCGCCTTTTCTCCTCCTCCTTCTCCTCCTCCTCCCCCTTATCCTCCTCCTTCCCCCTCAGCACCTTCTACTTCTCCCTATTCCTCCCCCTCCCCCAGCCTCCCCCATACTTCCCATCCCTCCCTCTGGTGATTGAAATCCTCCTTCTCCTTCTCCTCCTCGACCTCCCCCTTCTGCTCCTCCTTTTCTTTCGTCTTCCCCAACCCCGTCCACCGCCCTCCTTGCCTCATCCTTGGCACTCATGGTTCGATTGTGCTACCTCAGTTTCCGTGCTCGGTGGGCGACAGATATACGCACGCATATGCACAACAAATCGGAGGAAATGTCCTCACAGTACCTGCATGCCTCCTGTTCCCTCCTTCTCCTCCTCCACATACTCCCTCTTCCCCTCATGGTCCAGCTTCTCCTCGTCCTCCCCTTCTCCCTCCCAGTGCTTCCCCTCTCCCCGCTCCTACTCCTCCCAGTGCTTCCCCTCTCCCCGCTCCCTTTTCCTACTCCTTCTCCGTGCACCCATCTAGCTCCAGACTGCACCAGATTAACATTCCGACATCCAGCCTCCAGCATCCGATTTTCCACACACATCCACATCGACCAGTCGCCCAGGACAACTTCAGACGGCTCCCCCCCGCGCCGCCCTCCTAGGGACACCGCGCGCTTCGTTTCGCTTCGCTCCGCCTCTCTTGCAGCCGCTTCTCATCCGCCGGGCCCTCTCCTTCTTAAGACCGTCAAGTGTGCCGTTTTGCGTTGCTGCGAGGGTTTCTTTGGACCCTCCTGGGCGATCTCGCATGCCCTCCGCTGCCGGCATCGCCATTGGTGAGTCCCTGGCGCCACCCCCTGGCAGCCGACAACACAGCCAAGGGAGCACGCGCATCTGGTTTACACGAGACGGGGGCCTCCTGACACAGACGCGCGGCGACCACACGGGGGGTGGGCCCCGACGCAGGTCTCCTTAGCCTTCCTTTGTCGTTCCAACGCACGCTGGGTCAGAGAATTTCAGCGTAAGGCAAGTGTTTCGTGGTGGCGTCTCGCCGTTTGCGGGATCCCTAGGCTCAAGCCGGGCCTCGGGGCCGTCAACAAGAAAAAATGTTCAGATTGAACAGTTGGCCCCAGGAATTGCCCCAGTAATCAGACCAGCGTCCGTTCCCACCAGGATCGATTTCAATCGAGGAAGTGAGCGTTTAGGTCAGAGGTTGCGTGTTTCACATATCTTGAGTCTGATGTTCTGGCGACGCCTTGTTATTAGCGCCGCGCCTCCGCATCCTCACTCTCACAAGCTCCCTCGCTATCCCTATTACGTTCAGACCACTCTCGCTCGAACTCGCATCTACATTTACCCACACTCGGAACCAACTCACATTCAGACCCAGTCACACCCACACTCGCACCCAGATTTACTTACTCACAGTCAGACTCAATCACACTCTGACCCACCCGCACGCGGACTCCCACGCGCTCACAATCATTTTCACTCGTACTCGTATTACTCAGCTTAGTCATTCTCAGACTCAGACATACATACCACTGAGCCTCACATGCAGACGTACTCAGACTCGCTCACATTCAGACTCACCCAAGCCTCAGGCTCACCCAAACCTCAGACTGACACACACAGTTAGACGCACTCACACCCAGATTCACTTTCATAAGAACTTGCTCAGATTCAGCCTAACTCACACTCAGACTCACTCGCACTCAGACTCACTCTGACCCAGACTCACTCACACTCAGGCTCACCCACACTCACTCCCGCCCACTCACTGCGATGCAGCAGGCGTGGCATTTGGGCACGTAAAGGGGGAGCCACCCAAGGAGCAGGACACTTGCCCGCTCGCGTTCAGATTGTGGGGATGTCTCGAATGCGGCGCGTGCTTTGGTCTCCGATTCACATTAAGACCATCCATGGAAATTCGGCGACCAAAGGGGTGCACCCATCCCAGAAATGCGATATCCGGATGTGTTGAGTACGGGGTCGCTGGAAGTCCCGACCCTTTCCTGGGGGCCGCTTGTTTGTTCGCGATCAAGTCGTGGTTTGACGGTCCCGGAGACCAGCGAGGGCCTCCTTAGGCCAAAATGGTCAAAATTCTTTATCGTTATTTCATCGCTTCGCTCATTCCGCCGGCCCATAATGTCGCACCGTGGTCGCCTGTCCGAGTGGTCGTTTGCAGTGTGGAGCTGCGGCGTCGGGAGCTGTGTAGTTGACGATAAATGTGTTAATGTTTTTTCATAGTGCTTCTAGGTGTTTGCAGTTTTTTGACGGCTTTGGTGCCATCGTGGGGGCGTGTTACCCGTGGTATCCCGCTGTGGGGCCGTTCGAGCCGGGGGAAGAGACATCTTATGCGATAGGGGAACCCTCGTGTCGGAGGGTGGCGGGCTTTGAATGCTAACATTGGCTCTGTTATCGTCCTGATGTCCTCTGGCGTTGCGGACACGGGCGTGAAGGAACGAACACTTTCTTGCGGCGTTTCTCTTACCATCTCTTTTCTAATTGGACCGGAGGAGTAGGAGGAGGAGGAGGAGGAGGAGGACGAGGAGGAGGAGGAGGAGGAGGAGGAAGAGGAGGAGGAGGAGGAAGGAGGAGGGGGATGAGGAGCGATGAGGAGCGCCTTTGTCGTCGTCGTCGTCGCCGCCGCCGCCGCCCGCCGCCGCCGCCGCCCGCCGGCGTCGTCGTCGTCGTCGTGGAGGGTCGAGGCTCGAGGCTGGAGGCCGAACGCGGGGGAGGAGGACCACCCCGACCCGCGTTTCCCAAGTCGCGTCTGGCTGGAGTCTTGGAGGCGTCCTGGGGGCCTCCTGAGGGTTTTTGGAGGCCTCCAGAGGGCCTTTTGGAGGCCTCTTGAGGCCTCTTGAGGGCCTCTTGGGGGCCTCTTGGGGCCTTTGAGGGCGTCTTGGGGCCTCCCGGGGGCCTCTAAGGGCCGAGAGCTCGAAATTCTGTTTCGTGAACCCCCTCTTGGGGCGTTCTTGAAGCGTTCTTGGGGCCCTCTTGGGCCGTCTTGGAGGCCTCTTGGGCCGTCTTGGAGCCGTCTTGGGCCATCTTGGAGCCCTCTTGGGGGCCTCTTGGGCCCTCTTGGGGCGATCTTGGAGGCCTCTTGAGCCGTTTAGGGGCGTCGGGGAACCGAAAAGGTTGAAACGCCCAAATCTGTCCAAAACCTGAGAAAAAAACATTGGTTTTTGCGTCTTGGGGCCCTCTTGGGAGTTCTCTGGGAGGCCTCTTGGGGCATCTTGGAGGCTTCTTCTTGGGCCATCTTGGAGACGTCTTGGGCCGTCTGGAGGCCATCTTGGGCGTCGTGGAGCGATCTTTGGGCGTCTCGGACCTCTCTTGGACCGTGTTGGGGGCGTTCTTGGGGCCCTCTTGGGCTGTCCTGGAGGCATCTGGGGCCGTCTTGGAGCCGTCTTGGGCCGTCTTGGGGCCCTCTTGGGGGCCTCTTGGGCCCTCTTGGGGCGATCTCGGAGGCCTCTTGAGCCGTTTAGGGGCGTCGGGGAACCGAAAAGGTTGAAACGCCCAGATCTGTCCAAAACCAAAGGGAAAGCACAGTTTTTTGCCTCTTGGGGCCCTCTTGGGAGTTCTCTTGGAGGCCTCTTGGGGCATCTTGGAGACTTCTTGGGCCATCTTGGAGACATCTTGGGCCGTCCGGAGGCCATCTTGGGCGTCGTGGAGCGATCTTTGGGCGTCTCGGACCTCTCTTGGACCGAGTTGGGGGCGTTCTTAGGGCCCTCTTGGGCCGTCTTGGAGGCCTCTGGGGCCGTCTTGGAGCCGTCTTGGGCCGTCTTGGGGCCCTCTTGAGGGCCTCTCGGGCCCTCTTCTCGGGCCCTCTTGGGGCGATCTTGGAGGCCTCTTGAGCCGTTTAGGGGCGTCGGGGAACCGAAAAGGTTGAAACGCCCAAATC